TTGTTATACTGCCAATGGCCTAAGTCTCAAAAAAACCACTCATAATTCACCAGCCACATGACGTTGCGTCAACGTTTTGCATCCTTCCGATGAGCGATAAAAGAATACAAATATGCAAAGTAAATGGCCAGCATAAGCAGAGCACTTCAAATACCCTACAGCAAATTAGAGAGTCCAGCATGAAATTAGAAATAACATAAATATCGTTTATAACCAACGCAGGGTTACCCTAAAGATGCAGTGCTGCCCATTTGCTGATAGTTTCTTAACCTCAAAACAATTTGGCCCTGACTGGCGGCCAATACATGAAAGGTAAAAATAATAGAATGTATAGTCAACTAATAAATCAATGTAAAATATATTTTGCATGGAAATTATCAAGAGAAAAGCTGACAAAGGAAGCTGCGTAAATCTAGCACATTTATATAAAAAAATAATATATTTGAGAAAATTAATTTTTTATCGGCTGCGTAGAAAAAATAGTCTGAGTTTTTATTTTAAACGGTTTTAAAAGAAAAGTATTAATTTAGCTTGTGAATAATGCTACATACTATCTCTCCACTCAGGGTCAATCTTAAAATGCAGTGCTGCCCATTTTGCCAATATTCTGAACCTCAATACAATTTAGCCATGCTTGGTGAAATAGGTTAGAAATAATAAACGCATATCGAAAATAGTCAGTGCTTCCAATTATTCAAAAAATTTGTGTAAGATACGTTTTGCATAGAAAAATGAAACAATGTTATGCTATCAAACCTCAGACCTCAATTCGAAAAATATAAATGTATCTAAATTTTGCTTTTGACTAACTATTAAATCTTTTCATAAACTTCAAATGAATTTCCCAGAATTTTCCAAACAGCTTGAAAAGTCCATGCAAGTTTAGTTTGTAGAGTATGGACAGAAACTCATTGCTCTTTACTGAATTTAGTTTATGCTCCAATTAGTTGCTTCCGTCGACATCTCCGATTCTCTGTTTCTTCATCTGCTTCTGCTCGGCACTCGTTGCATTCTTTTGTGGAACGGAAATCAAAATAATGTTTTCATGCTGATTTATGAATCTATTTACAGTGACCGCTGCCCGGCGCCTGCTGCCCGTTGCCCGTTGTCCGATTTGCATGTGATTCATGCTCTGAAAACCATGAATGATTCGCTTTGTTGTGCGCCGCCTTCGAAGCATGCAAAACTATTTTCAGGCCAGGCACAAATAAATGACTTTCGGTTTTCAAGTTATGCTCAGTTTATAAGCAATGCCGGATTATAAGTGAGCTCCTCGACGTGAATGGGCAAATCCTTTACGGTTTTCAATATTTATTCGAATTTGTGGGCAGCCCTCAGCTGCCAAAAACAAATTGTTTTCAAGCTCTGCCACATTAAGTTGTCAAGTCTCCCAAAGATGTGCGGCTTATGAAGTGTGCCCCAAGGCTGCTGCCCTGCTTCTTCTTCTACCGCTGCGCATGCAACCTTCGGTATTCATTGATTTCTTGGCTCGCATATTAAATGCACTGAGCGCATAATGAAACTTCAAATAAGCACAAGTTGCACAATGAAAAGTGAAATAAGATGTTGCAAGAAATAAAAATAATACAAAATTTATACATATATATATAAGAATATAGGAAGAACGAGCAACTGTCAGTATTTGTTATTGCCTTTTCCACTCAAACGCTTCACGCAACAGCAGCAGCAATATATTCAGGGCCTCGCACGTGCTGGGACTTAGGATCCCGGCAGTGACAGCAGTTCCGTTTCCGTTTACGTTGCCGAGCGGTGTCCGTTGCATGTTACCCGTCAACTCTTTTTCTCTCTCTCTTGCTCTCTTTCCGACTCTCTCTGTCTCTTTCTTAATCTGAATGCTGCTTTTCTTTGAAGTCGTCGTTTTGTTAACGTTGCCATATTCACGGGTATTTATGAGTATTTTATTTTGATTCCATCTGCTTTTTGTTTGCGCACTAACAATCTCGCACACACCCACACACACACACACACACACACGTACACAAGCACACGGTGAGATTGAGAGAGTGAGAGCATTAGCCGATTACGAGTTAAAGTAGACAAAGTAAGAGAACACTTTATGTAGTGAAAAGGGTTAAACGAGATTTTAGAAACTTATTTCGAGATTTTTTAAAGGTTTTATTTCTAAGTAGCAATAATGCATTAAAAAAAACTTCACAACTTGAGTTTAATTTAAGAAAAAAGTGACAAACTGCTCTAATTATAACTAATTGCTTGATAATGGTGCAAGAGAGAAACCTAGTGAGTTTGTTATATAAAAAAACTGGAGAAACGAGCAGACAGCAAGTAAGGCTGAATTTAATAACATAATTTAATAATAATACAACACATTAAAGATATTGAACCATTTTAAAGCCTGCCCTGAAAATCGCGTAGAAAGGCGATAATTGGTTTAAATAAACGCGAAGAGAAGTAGATTATAAATAGAGCGAGAGCAAAGTTTGATCTCTGTACGCACAAAAATATATATACAAATTGAATATTCACAAAACGGAAATAAAAAATTGCTCAACACATCCATTGAAGGAATCCCAGTATTAGAAAGCCTGATTTAATTTTATGAAAATCGCATAGAAAGGCGTTCTTTATTTTAGAGATACGCAAAGAGAAGTAGAGTAGAAATGGAGCGAGAGCAAAGTTTGATCTCTATACGCACAAAAATATATATACAAATTGAATATTGACAAAATGGAAATAAAAAATTGCTCAACACATACATTGAAGGAATCCCAGTATTAGAAAGCCTGATTTAATTTTATGAAAATCGCATAGAAAGGCGTTCTTTATTTTAGCGATACGCAAAGAGAAAGAAAACGATAAAAATGTATTCTTGATACGTACAAATTATGAGCATTAAGATTGGTGAAAATGAAAAATTGAATAAATATAAATAGAAATACAGTTTAAAAACCATGAATATAAATAATTTATGGTTAAAGAAACAAACGCTTCCAACTGTCAAAAACTTTCCAAAGGACATACTTTAATAAGCATAGTTTTTGATGCTCTCTAAACTTAACTCTTTTTTCCAAAATGTTCCTTAACAATCATTGTTGTGTTTTTTATTATTTTTTGGTATGGCTACATTTATAAAGGTAAATGTTTTTAGATGCATGCTGGGGGCCCAACGATAAATACTAATAGCCAAAACGGCCAAAAAGTCACATAAACAATAGCCGTGAAGAAAAGTTGGCGTTACTAAGAGAAGTAATAATAATGAAATTGCCGGGGTTCTTCAGCCATGGAGCGACGGCCTCACTCAAGTTCATTTATTTTTATTGTTTTTGCAGCTTTGGGCGGCAATTTATGGCCCAGCGGAAAATATACGAATATATATATATATATATATATATATATATATATTAGATGTACGTGTACTTGTAAGTCGGGTCAGTTTTTATTCTATTTTACTTTATTTTATTTCATTTACTTTTGAATGAAAAAGTAAAGTGAAAGTGCACAATGTAGAATATATGTATATATATTTATATATATATATATATAAATATATGTATCTGTATAGCAGAAATAATTTACTTTGCCTTTCTTTTACTGTTGCCGCTTTCTTTGGCACAAGGCACCAGAGCCAGCATTCTATCTTATTTTGCACTAAATTTTAACAGGATTTAGCCTCGATGCTCCTTGCTGTCATTGCTAACAAGCTGCAGCCTCGAAGGCGCCTCCACCCCAACCTCGCCCATCCGCCCCTTTTGCTGTCGCGCCAACTGTGCCCAGCCGACCGCACCGAGCCAGTGTCCAGCTGGTCCCTCGGTTGGGCGGGTGCCCTGGTGTGGGCGTGGTTCGAGTCGAATGAGTTTTGTCGCAAATCCGCTTACGACGACGCCGCAACAACGAAAAATTGTGATGGCAGCCGCTTCAAGTTGCCGCGTTCAGTTGATGGGAATGTGATGTTAGCCTGGCCCAAATACATGCCTCCCCTCCCCTCCCACCCCACACACCTCACACCAACATGCTGCGCAGCAAACACGCCCATGCCCGCCTTCTGTAGCGCCCAGCACTTGCCGTTGGCATTTTTACAGGCACATAAATAAATTTCATAAATCTTTTGCACTTTAACGCTTCTGCTTTAACTTGACCGCTGGAGAGGGGCAGGCTATGTGTGTGTGCGAGTGTGTGTGTGGGTGAGTGTGTTGGTGTGTGTGCGGGTGTGCGTGTGTATGGTGTGTATGTGTGATTAGAGCTGGACACGTGTCGAGTTTATTTATAACAAGCACGCGCGGCTTTTGCCAAAATATAAGAGAAATTTGTGGAATATATAAACTATGCTTTATATCAGACCGATTTTTTCTTCAGGTGCCATAATATATTTTTTGTATTTCGAGTTAACAAGGCTTATTATAAGGCACTATTGTAAGTCAAGCTCGTAGCTGCTGAGGTCATGATATATGAATGAAGTGAAATGTTTTTTATACAAACGCTCGTTTTACTTACCGATTCTTCCTATGGAACTGTGTGATTCTTAAATATTAGAAGAAGCAGCTATTTAATGTCAAGTTTCTGATAAGAGCTTAATATTCAATTGATTATTCCTATAATATATAGTAATCCCATCCGGTAGACTCAGAAATATGTATTGTTGCTGCTAAATGATAAATAATTTGTGAATCATTAAGAGATCTTTTTTCAAAAAAATATTCTTTGATTACAAATTTACCTTTACTTGAAAAAGAAAACAAAAGATTATTGAAAATGTGCAGCTACTCGTGTATTGATCGTGAGTGCTTTCGTGTACGTGCTCGTGTCGTGTTGCGTGAAGACGACATTGCGACACGCTCATCTCTAGTGTTGATATTTTGTGTGTGTGTGTGTGTTGTTGTTGTGTGTTAACCTTTGGTTATGGTTGGCATTACAGGACCTTGGGCGCAACTGAATTGACAATTATGTGTAAGCCTTTTTGTGAGTGTGCCTGTGAGTGTGCAGGTGTTAGTAGGCGTGTGTTGGCTTGTGTGTATATGTGAAAGGCTTACAAACTAAAAACCGTCTCATAGTTCAAGAGGCAACAACAAAATACCACAGTTAAATATAGAAGTTTGAGAATATTCAAAAATTGTCATCTGTTTAGTTTTGTTTTGCCTGCAAATGTCACTAAGTGCGGGGGATATCGACAGCATCATTGCGCAGCTGTCCAATCTGAAGGGCGGCTATGCCCAGCTGAGCGCGGAGATGATCAGCGCATTGTGCGACCAGGCACGCGTTGAGTTCAGGAAGCGGCCGATGCTGCTGCAGCTGGAGGCGCCGGTGAACGTGGTCGGGGATCTGCACGGCCAGTTTGAGGATCTGTTGCGCATATTCGAGGCATGCGGCTATCCGCCGAAGAGAAGCTATCTCTTTCTTGGCGATTATGTGGATCGCGGCAAGCAATCGCTGGAGACGATCAGCCTGCTGTTCGCCTACAAGGTGCGCTATCCGGAGCAGATGCATCTGCTGCGCGGCAATCACGAGTGCGCGAGCATCAACAAGATCTATGGTGAGCCCAAGATCTACGCAGATATATGTCCGTATTATATATATTTGCAACTGCCTTAGGCTTCTATGATGAGATGAAGCGACGTCATAATGTCAAGCTCTGGCGCTGCTTTGTGGATTGCTTCAACAATATGCCGGTGGCCGCCGTTGTTGCCGATCGCATCTTCTGCTGCCACGGCGGATTGTCGCCCCATTTGGACAGTGTGCAGCAGATATGCGATCTGCCGCGACCCACAGATGTGCCGGACTCGGGCCTGCTCTGCGATCTGCTCTGGGCCGATCTCAATCATAGCAGCCACGGCTGGGGCACGAATGAGCGCGGCGTCAGCATCACCTACTCGGACGATATTGTGCGCGAGTTTCTCAATCGGCACGATTTCGATTTGATTTGTCGCGCCCACGAGGTGGTCGAGGATGGCTACGAGTTCTTTGGCCATCGGCGACTGGTCACCATATTCTCCGCCCCAAATTATTGTGGTCAAATGAACAATTCGGGTGCTGTTCTCAAGATAAGCAAGAATCTCAAATGTTCATTTACCATCATCAAGCCCACGGAACTCTTTGAGTATACCAAGCCGGCGCCCAAGGTGATCTACACCAACTGCTGAAGCAGCTGTCTTTACGATTTCCTCTCACCTCGCTTTGTCTAATTGTGCAACTGTCGCAAGTCAAGTTCTGAAATCAATGCATTTGGAATCAGTCAACATGCCAAAATATTTGACATGCATATGGGATGGGGTGGGCTGCGTTCGGCTGTCGTGCAGGTACAGTTCGCAACCTGTGCAGAGGTCAATAGCTGGGGCCTGTTGAACCCGGCCCTTGCGCCACATGTCAACGCCAGCTGACGGCCTCTCGAACTTTTGCAGGCATCTCTTCATGCTTCGACGTATTTCATTTGCAACTTACTTCATTTCGCTTTTGATGCTCTTGCCGCAAGGTACGTCGATTTGGTCGGTCAATATGTAGCTGTCTGTTTCTAGGCAAATGATTACTCGCTGAAACTTAGCATAGATCCATATTTTTATTGCAGCTACCTTCGATATGCCTCATCTCACATAAAATAAATAGGTGTTGGGCATTTTTTAAGATTTTTACCAAATTTATGTATAATAATGATTTTATATATTATTTAAACTAATTATTTTATTCTTGGTGATATTTTATTTTTGTAATAATTTTATTTCTATAAATATAATACAAATAATTATTATCTCAATCATTCGGAGTGAATTAAATTAATTAATATTTATTAATATTATTACTTTATAAATATTAATTTTATGATGAATTAAGGTGTATTATTATTGATATTATTATTATTGATATAATTATTATTATTGCTTATATAGTTATTGTTATTATAGTTATCATTATTAATTATTATTGTTATTATTGTTATAATCATTTTTATATGACTATAATTAACCTACAATATCAAGTTTGTATATTCAATCGGTTCATAAAAGTATTATACCTTATGTCTTATAAGGGTATTTCATATTCGCCATCCCCTAGACACGTTCCATTTTAGTATATTCATTTTTTCCACTTTGCTTTTCTTGGCCTGCCTTTTGGCGTTTTAGCCATGTGCTCAGTGGAATGAATTTTACATGGCGCTTAACATTGACTCTTGAAGTTGATTTGCTGCAAATGAGCGCTGATGTTGCTGCCACACTTTGTTGCAGTCTTCGAGCTGCTAAAAGTCGCCTGACAGTTGCCAGGCTCACAGATGTTCATGCCTGTAACTGCTTGCGTGGCAGTCAACAGTGGGGCAACGGGGGGCAACGGGGGGCAGGGGGCAGGGGTCTAAGTTTGGATTTGGTTTCTGTGCGCAGTGTTGCATACAAAAGTATTTCGTGTGGAGTCTGTTGCTTGCCGCACGCTCGAATAATTTAATACTCTACATGCCAGTTCCGACTAGTTGCCATGCAAGGCCAAAGCCAAAAGCTACCATATTCATTGGCCAAAATGTCTATATATATAAGCATATATGTATATATATAAATATATATGTCTGTGCACATTTGGCATGCACTGTGTGTGCCATTTGACTGCAATTTAATGCGCTAGCAAAAGCAGCTTCTTGAAATTTTGTTGCTGCTGTTGCTGCTGTTGCTGCTGCTGCTGCTTTATGTTTGCAAAATGACAAATCACATTTATTTATTTTGTACCTAAACACACACACACACACACACATGCTGTGTGTGTCATGCCAACTGTCTGGCAATAGTTGAGCCACCTTCCGTTCGGTCTCTGAGTCCTTCGAGCCAAAGGCTCTGCGAATGATTATTTTGACACGTGACTCAATGATTTGAGCATTAAGTGAGTTTCTTCTCGGTTGTGAAATCGATTTGTTATGCAACAGTTCCTAAGAAACCATTTGATATGCTTGAGCAACCGTTTGATAAAAGCATTCAAACTGTTTAACTTTAAATTTTTGTATAAAATCAGCAAAAATATAAAGAGTATAAGGAGTCATTGAAAGCCTCGGGCTTTAAAAAATTAAACAGTAAAGGACATTTGGCAGTGTTTTTAATTATTCTTTTTGGTTTTTTTAAGTAATCGTAAAGATTCTAGGTTTTAGAAGCAGATTGTTTTGTTTCCGTTTGATTGATCTCATTTCGCTGTCAGTGTTGTAAAACCAAGCAAATAATAGTAAGCTATCAGTGTTGTAAAACCAATTAAATAATAGTATTGGATTGATAAAAATCCAAAAAAAAACATTTATTCATTCGAGAAATAAATTATCTACCGATCTTATCCATATCGGCTTTATAGTGTCTGATCAAGTCATATCCAGTCAAGTCCGAAAATGTGATGAATGCAGCTAAAAGCAAGGAATTATAATCATTCTGCATGATTTTTTCTTAGATGGATGGATCGACTTTGTTGACTGTCTTCATAGCCTCCCTCTTCGTTTTCCAAGACGATTTTAAAGTAAGGCCTCTTTGTTTCAATAGATTTCTCTAACAGTTTGAATATGCATGCCTCCATTCAATTCTACGTGTTTAAGTTTACTTTTCCAGAAATGTGCTCTTCCCAAAAATAACACACTCTTTAAACGACTTTATGGAAAATCCTATGAAAATGTAAATTTAGAATTTATTTTTGCATATACAAGCTGCTATAAATGTTGCGTTGCCAAAAAAAGTTTTCAGGGTAATTTTTTCAAAGGTTACCCAGAACTTGTTTAGTAGCTTGTATGAGACTTTGCCAAGAGTTTGTTTTTTTTTTTTTTATTCTATTTGTTGTTATGTGCAAAAGGAGCTTAAAAACAACTTCCAGCAAAATGTGAAATTATTTTTCATCAGCTTAAAGCCCAGTTAACAGCAGGGCGAATTTCTAAGGAAAGCTGACTTATTGATTTAGAAAACTATGGCGAATGCTCCGACTGACAGCAACAGATGCAATTAGAGCGCTACACAACACTGAAACTGTGACTTATCCTTTTCCTTGGGTGGGCTGGGGCTGGCAGCACCTGCTTGGCTAAAACTGGGTCAGCTTCAAGTGCTCGTCCATGAAGGGCAACAAAATGGATGCGTAAAGCAACGCATTTAATTAGGTGCGGCTGGGGGCGGGCGTGGGCATGGTTGGAAGCTCCGATGATAAATGTGGAACGAGATAAGTTTAATGACTGATTGGCGTAAGGGTATTTTTAGCAAAAGTTTAATTAAAGCAATGCGCCCTAATGACAACTAATGGCCCAGAGGCGCGCACCTTAGACGCCCAAAAACCAAACAAAAGCAAAACAAATAAAATAAAACCAAGCAAAAAAGCTGAAAAGCTGAAATATTAGTTGTTGACATGGACGCTGGCTGTGTGGGGTGAAAGGGAAGGGGAAGGGGAAGGGGAAGTGGAAGGGAGCCGGGTGTTGAGGTCAAACCGAAAAGACAAAGCACATGATCAATTTTCATTTATGTGCCTCAAAAAAAAAAGAACAACAACTGTGGCAACATCTCGTGGCAGCAGCAGCTCGACTCAATCAAGTTAATGGCGGCCAAATGGGTTTTTGATGCGCTGTGCGCGTCTCCTGCCCCTTCCCACCGCTCGACCGCGCTGCTGCGCCAGCCAAGTGGCTTCATAAAAAATGATGGCCATGCCTGGCCGGAAAACAGTTTCAGTTTTAGCGTTCAGCTCTCGGTTCCGGCCTAATGAAGAAGCGCTGGACGTTTAATGTGTGCCGCTGAGGTATAAAAAGTAAATAAGTTGACTTAGTCGTAGGGGGCGTGCCAACTTTCTTATTGACAATTTGAGCATTTGTGCGTTAAATTCTTATGACGCATAATGCGCCCAAGCAGTTCGGCCCCCGCCCACCACCCGCACCACTCACCACTCCTGGGCCATAGCTAATAACGGCACTTCATAAAGCCACGCGCGCCTCAACTGTGAGGTGTGTCCAACTTGCCGACTTAATATTGCCATATGCTCACTTCTTCTTTCTCCCCACACTCATTCCACCACGCTCACTTTTCGTGTTGCCTTTTGCATGCGTTTCGCTGGCGTACGCTAACGGCAGTGGCTGTAGAGGGCTTAACCCTCAAACGACTCGTCCTGACCGAAAGTCTAATCAAATTAATGGAATATTTTGAACGCTTATGTGGGCCCTCAGTTTTATACACATACATTTATTTTTTCTTTCGTTAGATTCGCTGCCCTGATTTACTCTGCGATAAAAGGGTATTATGGGCTTGTTTGGGCGCTTGGAGTGGGTTTGAATAGCTTTGTTTAAGACAAGTCTAAATTGAATTCATTTAAGCTGGTCAAATTTTAATAAAAAATGAATTGTAACGTTTAAAATTGTTTGTTTTTATACCCTTTACTTGTTAAACATGGTTAAGAAAGGGTATTTCACCTATTGTACACTATCAAATTTGCAAGCTTAAGCTTTCAGCTGCCTCCTTGCTCTAATTAATCTGGTGCCTCTGTTCTTGTTCTCTCGCTTTTCTTATTCTGTTCTCGCTGTATGCCTCCTAGTTTTGCTCTCCTCATATTCATCGCAATGCATTCGGCATCTCGTTTTTCTTGGCTTCACTCTGGACATCTCGCTTTCAAAGTCCCGTTTTCAACGTTTCGCTCTTGATCTTGACACCATCTTTGTCTTGCTCTACTCTCTGTGCTGTTGTCATCTGGCTCTCGTCGCTTCGCTTTATTCGCCTCGCTTTGTCAGTTCGCCTTAACACCTCATTATTGCGCTGCCCTTACGTTTTTCGTTTTGTCGTCACGTTCTGTTCGTTTCACTCCAGCAGCCTAGCTCTTCTATTCTCCCTCTCTTGCATTGGCAATGGTGTAAATAGATTTGGACTTATGTATGTGTGTGCTGCTGTGAGCGATAAGATCGTGGCGAAATTACATATGTATACACACATACATTTGTAATTCGCCGTTTACTTATCACTTTGTTGCTTTACTTTGTACATCTGCCTTCGCTCGCCTGGCAAGCTTTATTTTCGCCATTTCGCTTTAGTTGCCCGCTGGCCGTCTCGCAGCATTGAAGGGCATTAAGTTTTCGTTGTTTCAATTCGTGTTCTTGCAATAATTTTTTTTCTCGTTGCGGACGTGTATCAAATTGGCCGACATAGCAGCTATTGTTGTTTTTGCTATTATTGTCTGTTGGCTTTTCTTGCTGCGTGTTTGATCGCGCCGCGCATTGTTTTTGCTTATTCGGTTTTCTTTTTTGCCGTCTGCCGTTTGGCGCGTGTGCGGAACCGCTTTTAATAAACTGACTGCCGCATAGGAAATGATTCCGTTAACTCTGTCGGTAGCAAAACGCGTTTTGATTGCAAATAACTGTTGTTTATTTTCGCTTTTGCTATTGGTTTTTTTTTACCCTGGCCGCGCTGCTCGTTCGCCCGCAATGTATTACGATTCAATTACAATCTGCACCCCTCGCCACACCCCGCATCAATCCGCTTAACATTTACCGTATCCAAAGAGATTCTAATTAATTGCATAATCACTCAAACAAAACCGCAGCCCCTCATCCGCCACGGGCGCTTCTTGTAAATGAGAAGCAAAGAAACAATCAAAATTCCAAAAGTCAGTGGTGAGTTTGCTCCGTCGCCAGCTCCTTCGACTGCACCGTCGCCGACGTCAACGACAATTG